CCCAGGTCCAGAGTGAACCCAAAGTGAACTTTGGTGAGCTGACATTGGACTTTGAGCACTCCTCACCCACAAATGGCAGGACCTAGGCGGATCACTGAGTCCCTCTGGTCTGTTTGCTCATCTGGTGCTGCCTGGCTGAGCTGTTGTGAGGGCACTGTGAGCTCATTTGTGCAAAGGGATGCCTGACACTCCCAGGCACCTCCCCCTCCTGTCTAACACATGTGACTAAGCCCTGTTAGCAGGCAGTGCTCTTTGGCCTCCTGTTCCTTCAATAGGTAGCATCTACCAGCCCCTATCCCAGGTGTGGCCAAAGCAGCCAAATGAGGTGTGAACAGCCCATGTCCCAAAACCAGTGAAATGAAAACTGCACAATTCAGGATGCTCCCATATGCTATGAACTATCCACACTGCATACATAACTCAAATTCTGGGCAATGAAACTACTGTGACATTACAGTGGTAGATTAATGTCCTTACACATTTGTCCACACAGAACATACAACATAAAGAGTGAATTCAAACATAAACCATGGACTCCTGTGATTGTAACCTATCAATGCAGGTTCAACAGTTATAACAAATACACCACTGTTGGTAATGTAGGGGAAGCTGTGCATGTGTGTGTGGGAGGGTGGAGGTATATGGGAAATCTCTGTACCTTCCCCTCAATTTTGCTGTGGATCTAAAAACTGTTGTAACAAAATAGTCTATTAAGAAACACATCCCGCCCTGGCTGGCATAGCTCAGTGGATTGAGCGTGGGCCTGTGAACCACACGATCGCGGTTCGATTCCAAGTCAGGGCACATGCCTGGGTTGCAGGCCAGTTCCCAGCAGGGGACTCACGAGAGGCAACCACACATTGATGTTTCTCTCCGTCTCTCCTTCCCTTCCCCTCTAAAGATAAATAAAAAAAAAATTAAAAATAATAAAAAAATTTAAAAAGAAACACATCCCGACTTCTGGCCAAGATGGAGGTGTAGGTGGAAACACTGTGCCTCCTCGCACAACCAGATTTAAAGACAACAAAGTTTTCGTAACAAAAATGCAACCAAAACACAGGAAATTGAACTGTATGGAAGTCTGACAACAACAAACCATCCAGACCAGTAAGAGGGGCGGAGTCAGCAGCTGGCGGAGCTGGGTCCAGCAGGAAAAAGTAATGGCTGCCAAACTGACCCAGGTGCACAGGCGGTGGTTGGCAGATCCCAGGTGTGGGGTGGCAATAAGCAGACCCAGTGAAGGCACAAGGTGGCTGGCTGACCGCAGTCACACATTCGCACGTACAGATAAACCAGACAAAGGAGCGAGCAGTGTGACAGACCTCGAAAACCAGGGCCCCAGCAACGGGGATTAAAGTCTAAAAGCACCAATTGGAAAAACTTTCAGAATCGAGGTACTGGGAGAAGCTCCCAGGTGCACAGAGAGTTTGTTGGAGACACCCACAGGATCCTGGAGGGTGCACAGGCCCACACATTCGGGAGCCGGCACCAAGGGGGTCCAGTTTGCTTGTGGGAAGCAGCAGAGGAGACCGAAATATGAGAGAGAAAACGTGGAACAAGCACCAATGCTCCCTCTCTGACCCTGCTCCCACATACAGCGTCACAACCCAGTGACTAGGTCACCTCACCCTGGTGAACACCTAAGGCCCCGCCCCTCACACGTAACAGGCATGAACAGACCAAAACATTATGGCTCAGGAACAGCTCAAAGCCCCAGAGCCAATACTTCTAAGTGACAAAAAGATAGCCAATCTATCAGAGGCACAGTTCAAAACACTGGTGATCAGGATGCTCACAGAACTGGTTGATTTTAGTCACAAATTAGAGGAACGTATGAAGGCTAAACTAACTGAAATGAAGGAAAATGCACAGGAAACCAATAGTGATGGAAAGGAAACTGGGACTCAAATCAAGGGAGAAGACCAGAAGGAAGAAAAAAATGACCAAACACAAAAATATGAAGAAACAAGAATTCAAAAAAAAAATGAGGAGAGACTTAGGAACCTCCAGGACATCTTTAAACCTTCCAACATCCGAATTACAGGGGTACCAGAAGGGTAGGAGGAACAGCCACAAGTGGAACACTTATTTGAACAAATAATAAAGGAGAACTTCCCCAATCTGGCAAAGGAAATAGACCTCCAGGAAATCCAGGAAGCTCAGAGAGTCCCAAAGAAGCTGGACCCAAGAAGGAACACACCAAGGCACATCATAATTACTTTAGCCAAGATTAATATGAAGGAGAGAATCCTAGAAACAGCAAGAGAAAAGGGGACAGTCACCTACAAAGGAGTTCCCATCAGACTGTCAGCTGATTTCTTAAAAGACACCTTACAGGCAAGAAGGGGTTGGAAAGAAGTATTCCAAGTCATGAAATCCAAAGACCTACATCCAAGATTGCTCTATCCAGCAAAGCTTTCATTTAGAATGGAAGGGAAGATAAGGTCAAGTTCAAGGAGTTCATCATCACCAAGCCCTTATTATATGAAATGTTCAAGGGACTTATCTAAGAAAAAGAAGATAGAAAATATGAACAGTGAAAGGACAGCAAACTCAGTTATTAACAACCACACCTAAAACAAAAGCAAACTAAGAGGACAGCTAGATCAGGAGTGGAACTATAGAAATGGAGATCACATGGAGGGTTAGCACAGGGGAGTGGGAGGAGGAGAAGGGGGGAGAAGGTACAGAGAATAAGTAGCACAGATGGTAGGTAGAAAATAGATAGGGGGAGGGCAAGAATAGTATGGGAAATATAGAATCTAAAGAAATTGTGACACATGGACATAAACGCAAGGGGGGGAATGGTGGGGGAGGGTTGTGCAGGGTGGAGGGGAATGAAGGGGGAAAATGGGAGAACTGTAATGGCATAATCAATAAAATATATTAAAAAAAGAATAATTTTAAAAATCCTGTATTTTAAAGCATTTGATCTGTAATAGACATTTGTGTTCACCTGATTACCTACCTTGTCTCTCGGAAATAACCAAATGTGGTTGGAAAGGAAGATCCTTTGCCCACCCTGAATGTTGAAATCAGATGCCCTGCCTGACGCAGGGTGGTCCTGCCCCAACTTTAAATCACTACAATAAGAAAGCACGTGGCGGCCCTGGCTGGTGTGGCTCAGAGGATTGAGTACCAGCCTGTGAACCAAGCGGTTGCTGGATTGATTCCCAGTCAGGGCCCGTGCCTGGGTTGCAGGCCAGGTCCCCAGTAGGGGATGCATGAGAGGCAACTGCTCATTGATGTTTCTTTCCCTCCCTTCCCTTCTCTAAGAATAAATACATATTTCTTTTTTTAAAAGTAAGCAAGCACGTGAGGGTCATGCCACGCAGAGCACCCCACGGAGGGGACTACTCCCAGTGCCACTGCACCACCCTGCTGGCTTAAGTGTTCCCAGCACAATTCCTAGTCAGGTGCACTGCCATGTGTACTTGGTCTTCTGAAAGCTGGTCCCTGAAATACATGAGTAGGCTGCCATCATTTATTTTTTAATTTTCTTAACTGTAGTAAAATATACATAAAATTTACTATTTTAGTTATTTTTAAATGTACAGTTCAGTGACATTAAGTACAGTCACTGTTGTACAACCATCACCACCATCCATCTCTAGGCCTCTGCCATCATTCCGTATTGAAACGGTACCCATTAAACCCTAACTCCCCAACCCTCCTCCCTCTAGCTCTGGGCAACCACCCTTCTATTTTCTGTGTCTATGAACTTGACTCTCTAAGCACCTCATACAAATAAATAGCTGCCCACATCTTAAAACAAGACATTCATAGAAATATTATTGATAATAACAGAACAGTGGAAAAAACCTGAATGTCTATAGGATGAATGAGAAAAAAAATGTGATGTATTCATACAGTGGAATATTATTCAGCCATAAAAAGAAATGAAGTACTAATTTATGCTGTAACATGCATACATCTTGAAATATACTAAATGAAACCAGAAAAGCACCACAGAGCTCACATATTGTATGACACCATTTAGGTGAAATATACAGAACAGGCAAGTTTATAAGACAGGAAGTAGATTTGTTATCAGAGACTGAAGGACTTGGGAGAAAATGGAGTAACTGCTAAAGGATATGGAATCTCTCGAGGCGATGAAAATGTTCTAGAATTGACTGTGGTGATGGTTAAATAACCTTAAATTAAAATCCACAAAACCGTACACTTTGGTTTTTTTATTATTTATTTATTTATTTTTAAGATTTTATTTACTTATCTTTAGAGAAGAAGGGAACAAGAGAAGGAGAGAAATATCAATGTATGGTCGCCTCTCATGAGTCCCCTGCTGGGAACTGGCCTGCAACCCAGGCATGTGCCCTGACTGGGAATCGAACCGCGATCATGTGGTTCGCAGGCCTGTGCTCCATCCACTGAGCTATGCCAGCCAGGGCAAAACCATATACTTTAAAGGTGAGTTGAATAGTTTATAAATTATCTCTCAATAAATCTGTTACCTCAAAAATGAGGTAACTAGCCCTGGCTGGTATAGCTCACTGGATTGAGTGCAGGCTACAAACCCAAGGGTTAACAGTTCAATTCCCCCTCAGGGCACATGCCTGGGTTGTGGGCCAGGTCCCCAGTGGGAGCCACGTGAGCGGCAACCACACATTAATGTTTCTTTCCCTCTCTCTCTCCCCTCTTCCCCTCTCTCTAAAAATATATAAAACTTTTTTTTAAAATGAGGTAACTAAAATCTCCACACAAAAATCTGGATGCCCAGCTTCTCTTGGAAAGTACCAGAAGATCTGGCAGCACTGGGTCTGAATTCCTGTGCAGCCCCTGCCCTGCCTTGGGTGGAGCTCAACAGTGGCTGTCCTCTTTAAACATGGCAGCCAGTCTCCATCGTTCCCTTCTGTCTCCCAGCAACTGAAGTTGTAGGTCAGGACCCACTTTGTTTCTTTGCATTAAGTTCCTGACTGGCTCATGTGTGATCCTTTACAAGCGTCATGTCAAATAAGCAGAACCTCAGTTACATGATATAAAGTCAGGTTTCACAGTGTTTATTAACAAGAATGCTACATGCCTTCTGCAAAAGCCAGGGAAGCTCATACAATTTAGTTTTCAGTGTTGGGCTCCACTGTTACAGAACAGAGTAAATGACAGGGACAGTCCCTGAACATAGGAGCAGTAGAGAGGCTTGTGGGACTAAAAAAATTCTTGTACATTGAGGGGGGTTTTCATGACAGGGAAGGAATGTTGCATTCAAGTCCACAAGAATCCAAAGGCCCAAAGAGGAGGAAGAGGATGGCTCAGGTGGGAAAACAAATCAGAACAGAAGCCTGCAGGTGGGAATGGAAACAAAGTCCAGTCCCCAAGTCTATCTCATCCCTATGTGACCGTGCCTTCCCTTATTCACCCCCTAGGCATTTCAGTAAATGCTCAACACCCATCTACCGTCCCCCTCCTCTCAATCCCCAAAGGCTTGGGGCCTAGAGATACTTTTCTGTATTTTTTAAGTATCTCATCTCCCACTCCAGCCCCAACTCAAGCTGCAAGTTATCTGGTGACAAATGCCTCAGAAGCCAGCTGTGGGAATAAGCCCACTCCAAGCCCTGAGTGAGACTGGGCGCTAGATTTGCACTGCCATCTTCCTGCATCTGCAGAAAGGACCCTCGGTACAGCAATAATGATATTGCTAGCCAGAAAATCCACCTTTCTATCTCAAAGTGTTCCTCTAGACTTCTGCTTTCAAAAGATATGACATGCATGGGAGCCGACTTCTCCAGAGGAAAACTAAGCTGTCATGGGGCGCCTGCCTAGCTTCCTGTTGCTGTGCCTGTGTCTAGGCATGTGAAGGGGCCCATGCTGAGAGTCCACAGCAGGCACTCAATAAAAATTTTCTGAATGAAGGACAAGTATCTGCAACTGGCAGAAGGTCACCACTGACCCCTTTCTTGCCCATCAGGTCTTTCCCATCCTCTTCACCCAACCCAGCAAGTGTACTCTCACACCTCAAGCTGCTCAGCTCAGAACCTGGGGGTGGGTCTGAGAGATATGCTTGGGGTCCATTCCAGTAGTGCCAGCATTGAAGCTTTTGTGAGACAGCCTCTGCAAGGAGCCCAGACTAGTCAAAGTACAATGAGCAAAAATTTTAGCACAAAAAATGTATTAATATTCCTTTGACAACAATCAAGGGAAAAAATAAATCTAGCAAGGGAAACAGTGATATAGGAGGCCACACTGCACATCTCTTGTGGCACAGGCTCCAAAAAAAGAAGCTACCCACAAAATTCTAGTACATTCATTCAAATCAGCTTGTTGTTGCATGGGAAGCTCCCTTCTCTGGGATTTGGGTTCAAGAGGCACAGCCCTTGTGTGAGTATGCACTCAGGCAGCCATGACTCCGGATGAGACCAGCCACCTCTGCAGCCAGCTCCAGGGAGGCCAGAAGAAACGAGGGGCAGCCTGACCTGCACGTGAACACCATATAAGCCCCTGCTAAGCCATGTGTAGAAAGCTGCTTAAACTCTTTCAAAGAAGACATAACCACAATGTAGGTTTTAAATATCTCTTTGCAGTAGATAATCTTTTACATGGATACAGAATCATTTTACATTCGTAGATCAGACACTAATAGATGCTTTATTTTAGTAAATTATGAAGGAAAACAAAAAGAAAACTATTCAGAAATGTTCTCCATTAGCCTCTTACTAATGGGAGGGTCTGGAAACACACAGAATCTACACATCCTAGAAGCTGCGGTTGGGGCAACTGTTTTGCTCTGGCCAGATGGTGGAGAGCCTTCAACTGCTTAGACTATGTTTTCCTTTCTGAACAAACATTTACACAGGAAAAGACGATGATTCTTTGCATTAAATAATTTAAACACATTTCTGGAAATAGGTGTCGACAGTGTAGTTAGTGGTGAAAACCAAGCTGTGGCTGGCAGTGGGGGTAAGGCTCTAGGATAAGGAGGCCCGTGGTCCAGCAGACAGGCAGAGTCCCACTCAGGCCTGGCTTCAAACACCAGAGCTCCACAGCCACAGACAAGAGGCCACCTGGGTGGGGGGGGAGGGAGAACTGACAAAAGATCACAGCCCCCATGTTTCAGCTGCTGGGTACCCTTGGGAATTAAACTCCAAGAAAAGCAAGGGATGCCTCTACTGAGGGGTGGGTGATGCCGGTGGGGCTTATGGGCCCCAAGTTCCTGGAAAAGACAACATGTCAGAAGAGACTCATTCCAGAACCTCCCAGAGGTTTAATGACAGGGAAATTAATCACTTCACAACTTGGTGCAGTTTCAGGCTTCATTTTTAAGCTGTAAGCATGGCCTTTAATTCTTTATTAAGATTTCCACCACAGTTCATTCCAAATTAAAGTTTTGGCTCTAATTTGAGAAGTGTCCAGATGTCTTACTCTGAGCCAGAAGAGGCCAAGTTACCTACCCACAGACAAGAAACCTACCAGCCCTTAGGCGTGCCACGCCTTACTGCCCAAGAGCTGTCCACCATGACCATTCTGTGGAAAGGTGTGTTGTCACATGATTTTGCTGTTGCCAAGGTGGTCCAGAGGGCCTCTGCAGGCAGGGCTCCATACTGCTGTTCTGGAATCCCCCGGTCTCCAAGGTGCCTTGGCCACGAGGAAGGGCTGCGGCTCCCAGCCTAGTTTCCAGTGGACCGTTTTCCTGAGCCAAGACACAAGTGGTTACAATTTACTGGCATTGCAAGGCACATCCCTTGCAGTGAGTGAGCTTCTATCATCCCTGGGAAGGAGCTATGCCAGGAGCCCCAGCCACCAGGAACCCACACAAGTAAAGTTGGTCCCAAGAACCCACAGTGACCAAGTACAACTCCTGGCAGCTCTCTGGAGGTTACATGGCTCTACACCCCCGGCAGGACAGGCGCTGTAAAACAGGTGGTGAGTGGAGAGATCTGAGTTCGCCTGGCTCTCCTGTGACTGTGGGGAACCTGGTTCCCACCACTGTGGGATGCAGTGCCTCTGAGAGCTGGTGGAGGGAGACTGAGAGGCAGCCCCCAGTGCAGCCTCTCCCTGCGGTCTGGTTCAGCTCTGGACTGCCACTGACTGCCACATTACCTAATGTAGGTGTCTCCAGGGACCAAAAGGCTTGGCTCCAAGGGGAGCCAGATACACCATACCTAAGACTGGTACCCCTTCCAGTGCCAGGGAGTGGGGAGTATGAAATTGGTTAAAGTAAGGAAAAATGGGGATTAGTTCACAAAAGGAAACAAAGGGGAGAAACCTCAAGGGTTTTCCTACCTCACCTGGGTATCAGGAGGTAAACATTTTCTTAAGTTTGGAAAGGAATCCCTCCTTGTCCTCCCCAGCCTCAGGCCTAGCCTTGCCTCCTGTGGAGCTATCCATGGTGCTGCCACCTGGGCACAAACAGCAGAAAAAACTGGGGTCAAGGGCACACACCTCCAGGCGTCCCATCCCAGGCCCCACCTACCCCCACCTGGCCACCCAAGGACTCTATACTCAGGGACCACCTGGCCAACCTGGGAGCCACCACCAAGCACCACCCTGAGAAGAGAGGTGGCAACTCCCAGGTTGGCCAAGGCTGCCTTGCCTTTTCAGATGACTGATGCAAACAGGTCACTCAGTACTTCAACGTATCCCAACTGTCCCCAAGTCACTGAGCCGTGAGAGGGAAATAAGAAACAGAGCCAGACAAGTACCAGCCGTCTCCATCTTAACAACTGTAACAAAAATACAGCCCACTACCAGAGGCCAGAATTCTAGGCCAGGCCTCAAATCTTCCACGTTAGCTCATTCAATCCTTAAGATAACCTTACAGGTACATTTCAGAGGGAAAAAAAACAAAAAATGGAGGCACAGAGAGGTCACTGTATTTTTCAGACTGTAACATGCACACACCCCCCCCCCATCATTTGGGAGGCATAATGGTTGTTAATGCTGCTGTTGAGTTCTGTTTGCATTTATATTGGTGAAATATTATGTTATTTATGTTATTAAATATTTTACATTTTTTGCTTCAAAATTCCTTTTCCTATTTTCCTCTCTAAAAGCTAGGTGCGTCTTATGGTCCAAAAATTATGGGTACATGCTTTGTTCAAACCCATGCAGCTGGACTCCAGAGCTTCTTAACCACCATGCCACTGTCTCTAAAAGGTGAACATCGACACCAAGCTCCATGTCTGTACATGTGCACATCTCTGGGACACTCAGGGAAGGACTCACTGCCTCTTGGAACATGAACAGAACATGTGCACTTATCTGTAACGACAGCAGCAATGAACCCAGTATGGCACTGGGCAAGATCTCTCCATCTTGGGGCATCTAACCCTCAATGCTCCAGAAAAGAGGGGGTGCTCCTTATTTCTTTAGGGCCCAGGCTGAGACTGATGAGAGTAACTCTGCTGTACAAATGCATCATTTTAAAGATCTACCAACTACTAGGCAGGGAGGGCAAACTTTTGTTAGGAGTTAGACTACAGACCTGTACTCAACACACTAGAATTATGCCAAGCACAGTGTATAGCAGAGGAAAAAGTGGTCACAGCCCCCAAGATCCCAGACTAAGACACCTTCCTCAATGAGAGGCCCAGGGCAACCAGGCCCCTAGCAGAAGTGGACAAGGCTGTCCTAGGTCTAGCCCCCTAGGCAGTCCTCTGGACTGGCAGGCTCTCACAGATCCGAATGTCCTGAGAGAGAGTGGTGGCCCTGGACAAAGACGTGCTGACAGGGGTCTAAGCAATCACCAAAGATGAGGCAGCTGAGTGACTCCTGATTCCCAGAGCTCCCTAGTGGAGGACCTGGGCACCACATAATCAGCAGAGCAAGCCCCTTTGAGAGGTGCCCACTACCACGTGTGCCTTCCTCAGTCCTTCATGCCCTCTTTTCCTACATAAAGACTTCAGTAACACAAAGGATTCTCCTAACACAAAGGGATCCACAAACCAGAAATTTCCCATTACTCCCAGGCCTCCTAGAACAAAGGAGAGCAAGAGTATTGAATTCCATTATGCCCTTGGTAAGGAGATGGCAAATCTTCACATGTTTGTGTGTGTCAGTGGATGAGAGTTTGCATGTGTCACACTAGAGTTACCACTGATGGAGATTTTAACATGTGCCATGCCAAATACTTTAACCCATGTGATCTCATTTAATCATATAGACCCCTATGAAGCAGGTGCTATTATTCCCAATTTACAGATGAGGAAACTGAGGCTCAGAGGGGTGAAGTAATTTGCCTAAGGCTTCACTGCTAATAATGGCATAGCTGGGTTGTGAATCTGCTGACATCAGAACCCAAGCTCTTAACTACTAGTCACAACAGGGCACAAAAACACTCAGTGACTGCTGACTTCCTCCCACAACCCTGCAGTCCCTATCACCTGAGGAAGGGTACAGAGTAACTGTGTTCCATGGTCATGCAGGTATTTGAGCCATGGTGGCCAATCTGGGAGAGCCAGAACCACCACCCTGTTAGCTGGTTAATAATCCACAACAACCACAAACACAAGCAAAATATGCACACCCCGGAATTTTCATTTTATACTAGCAGGAACAGCCTTACCTCTCTTTCTACTTTCATATCTGGCTAAAAGGGGTATGGGAGCCTTCAGGAATATTTACTGACCAGGACATCAAGTGAATATAAGCACTGAACTTAAAATTCTAAACCAAACAGGAATTAACTGTAAGCCTCCGCACACAGATAACAAAGTCTATAAACACACGGCTCTACTCTCTCTTTCTCAGAGTCCTGATTTCTCCGAGGACTAGCCTGGGGTAGAAAGAGAGGCATGTGTTTACAGGATGTCCTGGGCACTCAGGCACCTTCAGGTCTCATCACAAGATACAAATACAAAGTGCTATACTTCCAAAGCTGCTTTCAATAAAGCTGGCACATAATCTTTGCATTTTAGAATAAACAGAAAATGCCCTATGGTGGAAGTCCATCCCAGCCAAATAGGCATTTCTAGTCTGCACTTCCAGAAGGTAGGGCTGCTCAGCCCACCACAGTCAGAGGTCAAACCTGAGGCCAAAGGACTCCTCTATCAGACCACATGTGGCTTTCCTGAGAAGAACTACGTTTTTCTGTCTGCCTGATAGTGTTTCCCTGCTGATGGTTAGGGAAATAAATTCAAACCAACTCAGCCAATATTTACCATGAATAAGCCTTAGGCCAGGTGCTGTGCAAGGTCCTGGGGACTCAAAGAATAAACACTGTAGTCACTACAGGCAGGGATTCCAAGTCAAAACTACCTGATGGCTGTTCACAAGGTGATGCCAAAGGACGAATACTATTCATTCTGTGAATCTGTACTACCTTTAGGGTCAAACTCCTAATGTTACAAGAGAGGTCTAGCATTTATTTGAGGGTTCAATGCTTGCCCTGTCTTCCCCCATTACACTGTTGTTGGATGAGGCCAAAGAACCTCTCTCTCTGGGTATCACTTCTTAGCACGCAGTAAAAGCTAAATGCATATCTGTTTGAAGACAGAGAGGCCAACAGTACTCCAGGATCTGACTTCTGGGGACTGGACCTACCCCACAGGTGGAAGTGCAGGCCCACAGTCACAGCCTGGCTCCCTGAGCCATCTAACATACACAGGTTGAGCCTGCAAAGCATGTCTCCTCCTACTAACAAGTCTTTCCCTCACCTTCCCTTTGCCTCCTCCCTGTATAAAGCAGGTCTATAGTCAACACTATTAGCCATATCGGAGAAGAGAAACAGCAGGAGGAATTGCCAAATAATGAGCTCAGGAACAGGTTTCTACAGCTACAGCTAAATGTACATATGTATGTTGTCACAAGAACTGATGATGATCCAGAAACAAACAATGAGCCACACTATGTCTCTACCTCAAAAAGCCACACAGTAATTAATGTCAGACTGCCCCAATTCCCTGTGTCTTTTTGCTGAAGTGCTAAGAGTCCCAAGCACACTATAGGCTTTGCGGTACACACTGGGAAAGATGCTAGGATCAGCCTAGCAGCATTAGGAAACAAATAAAGGATACTTTAGCCACCAAAGACTTGAGCTCCATTTCCTACTAAGTAATTGTATCTATTCCAAATGCCTTCCAGGTACTCTTTCCATAATAAAAGCAAAGACACACAGAAATCAATCTGCATCTACAATGACTCTCTCCTGGGTCTCTAATGACTCTCTAATGCTCATGTACTTAGAGGCTATTGAAAAAAAGTACACACTTTATCCCAAGCATCACTAAAAAATGAATGCAACTGCTTCCAGTATGACTTTAGTTAGTACACTTTTAAGATTTTATTTATCTACTTTTGGAGAGAGGGGAAGGGAAGGAGACAGAGAGGGAGAGAATTATCATTATGTGAGAGAGAAATAGTTGCCTCTCACATGACCCAACTGGGGACTTAGCCTGCAACCCAGGTATGTGCCCTGACTGGAAACTGAATCAGCAACCTTTTGGTTCACATGCTGGTGCTCAATCCACTGAGCCACACCAGCCAGGGCTAGTTAATACGCTTTGTTGAATGCTTGAAATAAAAGAGATTGAGGCTCTACTTAAATAACAGGACCCACTGTTAGTGAAGTTGTCCGGAAATGGGAATTGTATGTCCTGTCATTATCTTCGGATGGGGATTGCAAGAGTAATTCTCTTCACAGTATAATGGAAGGCTTAACTATAACCAGGCAGGAGACAGACAGTGCATTCCTTGAAGCCAATTCTAAGATTCTTAAATGTCATTTAATGCCCTGGCCAGGTAGCTCAGCTGGCTGGAGTGTTGTCCTGATACACCAAGATTGTAGGTTTAATCCTTGGTCAAGGCACATCCGAGAATCAACCAATGAACTGCATAAATAAGTGGAACAACAAATTGATGTTTTGGACTTCTGGCCAAGATGGTGGCGTAGGTAAATGCACTTTGCCTCCTCATACAACCAACAGAACAACAACAAATTTAAAAACAACACAACCCAGGGGTCCAGTGTGGGGAAATAAAGCCTCAAAACCTCTGACTGGAAAAACCTGTGGGGGGTTGTGGCAGTGGGAAGAACTCCCAGCTTCACAGGAGAGTTTGTTGGAGAGACCCATGGGGTCCTAGATGTATACAAAACCACCCAACCAGGAATCAACACCAAAAGGGCTTAATTTGCTTGCAACTAGTGGGGGAAGTGATTGAAAGCTGGCCAAAGCTGGCAAGCGACGTTATTCCTTCTTGGACCCCTCCCCCACATACAGCAGCACTATGCCGTGAAGTGGGGTGCCCTGACATGGTAAATACCTGAGGCTCCGCCCCTTACAATATGATAAGCACACCGAGACAAAAAAATACTGCCCAAATGAAAGAACAGATCAAAGCTTCAAAAATAGAACTAAGTGATGAAGAGATAAGCCAATCTACCAGATGCAGAGTTCAAAAC